TGAAATTTATGTTACAAATTCAAAACAAATTAAATTTACATTCATCAGAGTTAAATTAATATGTGTATAAACGCAATTATTGAAGTTACAGATTAATATTTTTAGAATAAAAAAAAATGAGGAAGCTACTCGCCAATACATTGGTAGCAGTTTTTTTCCGTTAATTCAGTGCTCCATCTCATTCGAAGAAAACATTGAAAAAAAAATTACCTGATGATTCAAATTTTATCAATATATCGATTAAGCCGATTACAAAACTAACCGAAAAGTCAAATTCACAATCTTGTTTTCTAAAACTACTACTGAATAAATTTTTATATTTTTACAAAATGAAAGATTTGATTTTTGGACTTGTTGTACCGTCACGTTCATCCAATCGATGATTGGAAAGACGAATGAATGTTCAATAAAATTAGAGTTGAGAGTGAATCTTTGATTTTCTAAGAATTCAAGGAAGAAGTTGTTTCAACTAATCGACAAAAAAACATTAATACTTTAGAATTGTAATAATAGGTTATTGTGAAAACAACAAAAAGGGCAAATAATAACTTGCAGATACAAAAAGAACTAAAAGTATGCATGCTTTACACGATCCAAGGTGAGGCTTTTCTCACAGTAAAGTGTACACTGTACAGGTTCACTAACGTTCTACTTCTATCTTGAAAATATGGTATAATTCACAAAAAATTATTGACTTTTTTCTGATTTTTAAATTTTATATTTCTTTGAAGTAATTGATTAAATACACGTTTTAAATTATTAACAGAAAAATTACCATAAATACTTTGTTTCATTTCAGGAATTTTCTCGACTGATTGTCAGAATAACAAGTTAAATTCTTAAATTTTATTCGTATCTTTGGGTCTAACATCGCCCTATATTCAGATGACTGAAGTTGGCGCTTTTCAAAATGTATGGTTATCGCTAATAGATTCCTAATTTGGTCCTGAGTAACTTAAAAAAAAGTGTTGGAAAACTTTTTTTACTCGACATTGTCCAAACAATAAAGCAAATACTCTGAAAGGGTTCATGCACTTGCTACAATAGAGAGAAACATAAGAGTAATGCACAAAAAATTGACACCGCTTCCTTACAAAGTCAACTATTAATTCAAGTTATATTGCTATTAAAAAGCAATCCTTCTCATAAGTTTTTTGGTTTATTCATCCGTTCTCCAAGGAATAGAGGAACGGTGAACAAAAGAATTTTTTTTATTTCATTAAATTTTATATTTTATCAATCATAAGTTTATTGAAGCAAATGAAAGAAAAAAGTTCTCACGTAGTAAGTCCGGTGTAAAAATAATTCTAAATTATTTTAATAGTATATTTTGCACCTGGCGAGTGAAAAACTGGAAAGTCTCAGAGCACGTGTAATTTATCAACCGAGGCGAATCCGAGGCTGATAATCAAGTGGTCTGAGACTTTCTTTTTTCGCTACATAGGTGCAAATACAATTTTTTGTGAATCCCCCGGCTTAAAGTAACATTCTCATTTCGCTCAGCGGGAGTAAAATGTTACTTTAGGTTGGGGTAGCACAAATAAATGTACTTTTTTTTTCATTGTTTTATTTGTTTTTGATTGTCTATTTTTTTATGCCTTTAAATCGTTAGAACAATATGTGAGTTTTGCAATTTTGAAAAATGTTTCAAAAAATTATAAATTAAAATAATGAGTGGATAATGAGTGAAATTAAATTCTGCAGCGGCAGATGATTAGATACAATTTTTCCCATTGAAATATATACATGATAAAAACGAGAAAAAGACCTTAAAATAGAAAATATTTTATCCATAAACTCACGACAAAAACAAGTGTAAAACAAATGACAATGCAGGGGAGTTAGTGTGAACGTACATTAGCCATACAAGTTGCTGCAGCTAAGATGATACAACAAAAGCTGTGCTCAACAATATACACTGGATGCGAGCATGGCACTGATGAATGGCGAACTCGAGTCGAGTCAGTGTAAAGGGTGATTCGTTATTCTCCACAATGAGCAACGCGAGGCGCAGGCTTGCTCTCACTCGAGCCTGTAAACACCTATTCGTATATATATATACAGCGGACGTGAGAGTTGGTGCTAGCAGCGATCGGTTGGAGCTAAAATTATCTTGGAAACGAAAAAAAGAATTAAACACGACCCTGACCGTCGGAGTCATGCGTACATCGCTATATATATCAATATACATGCATGTGAACTGATACAACGAGCTCATAGCATTGATGGAGCCTCACAACATATAAACTTGCTCCAACCAGACCAACTGTATAACAGTTTGACTCACTTCTCTTCCCGCGATGCAATATTTCTATTAAGATCCCGCACAATGGCATTATTTTCATAGCAAATCTTTGGTTATGCTTAAGGTATCACGAGACGCGGTCGACATTGAGTGGCTTGATTCTGTAAATAAGCTGCTTTGCGGCTTTGCTACTATGATTGATTGCAATTCAATGATAATAAAGTTATTAAAGTAAAAAGTAATATCCAGTCTTGAACTTTTTTGCGCTACACAATAGTGCACCTTTCTAAAGCGTGACACGACGGTGATAGGTACTTACGCGTAAATCATCGAAGCGAAAAAAACTGCAATCGTCTGGCTAAAGCCACGAGAATGCAGGCATTTGTAATAACGAATAAAATAATAGCTTTTTACCGAAGTGCCTAATGATTTATACAGAAGCAAGGCGTAAAATTCGCTACTAAAAGAGGTATTTCTGTTATGCTTTTTCATTTCGCTTTGAGTCGTTTACAATTTTGTACGTGGTGCATTGTACGTTATTTTCATTCTTGAAGTAACTGAAACAAGTTATTCTTAAGGATACTGTATTATTCTGCGACGCTAGAGCCATATTTCAAAACCACACATTTTCAATTCAAAAATAATAATGAATCATAATCAGATACTTTGAAAGTACATAAAGTTGTTTGAAAAACTATGTCAAAGTTTTAATTTCAATAACGGGTTTTCTTCGTGTCTTATTTTAAACCTTCATGCGAAAACTTAGCTATGTTATAGCTAAAAATTACTAAAGTGTTGAAAAAAAGTCCTCTTGGGACTTAATGGGTTAAATTTTGTAAGACAACTCTAGGATTATGAAAAATAATCGGAACAGAATGAAAGAATTAATTTCGACTAAAAAATTGTCAGTAACTCCAATTACAACCAGTAAAATTTATGTGATAACTGAAGAGCAAAGCGTAAAAGTTACTTTAAGATCAAGAGGCTAGAAACTGCTAATGGCGCTAACAAAAATCGAATTGGATAATTCATCTGATACACTCGCATGCCGAATTAAAACTACCTTTCATAATTGCATACAGCTCGATAATCATACGTGGAAGACAGGATCATTATCAATGAACCCATATAAAATCCATGAACATTCACAAGGAATTGCATCGATGTTTCGCACTCTTATCTTGTTTTTGTCTCTTACGCTCTCTATATCCCTCTATTGCTCCGACACAAAAGTTTAACCTCTATAACGAAAAACGATGATGTGATACGGTGAGCAATGCCTGATTGCAGGACTTTCCTTTTATTTCAGACTCAGCTTGTTCTGCGATTCATTACTAAAACCTTTCTCTACTTTGCGTACTTTTATCTGTTTCGATTAAAGGAGACAAATATCAAAAACCACAAACCAACTGCTAAAGTATTAAAAAATAATACGTACTTTTTGTTGCTTATGAATTATACTGCACTGAGAGACATAATGTGCGATTGTTAAAAGCTCCAATGAATGCGCAACTTTTCTCGTGGCTTGAGCTTTTTTTAGAAAATTTGAGTTTCAGCATGACTCATTTTGATTTGTGCTTTCGAATCTCTCATTGTATGAGCTAAACTATATGTACGTATAAAGAAAATGAAGTTAGCTGGATAATTTACTTTTTACATTTATACGTTTCGAATAAATTCTTAAAATCATAATTTGATATTACAGCGAAATAGCAAATTGCGTGAATTAAAAATGAAAAACTATGATACAATTTGCTTCAAAGTGTTTCAAACATTTTACAGTACTTATGCTGATGCGATAGAAGCGGCTTGCATTTAATTTTATATATTTTTTAACAATTATCGCACGACTAGTCAACGCACTACAGCAGTGATTGTACAAAGAGTGCGAAGTCAAGCTAGAGTATGTGCACATGATGTACATGCTGAGTCTTGGCGTTAGCGATTAAAATGCATAAATGCGTGTTTTCTCCTTTAAATACGAGCACGCATAGACACGTTAGCAGAGTATATCTCCGAGTTGTTGCCGTGTATACAATCTTCGTCGTGTGTGTGTCTCTAAATATAAAATCCCGCGCGACAGTGACGACACGAGGGCAAAACGACGGACTTTTCCCCAGGCGCGTCTTCTGCCATTCGGAAGATAGGCTTTCATACGCACGAGCGAGCACACTTCATAATCCTGTATGCACTCGTCGTGTGCACCGATCGTCTGAGCCTCGTGGAACAAGAGTATTAACAATCTAGCTCCTCGGGGCTGTGAAACTTCCCTCCTTTGATTAGTACGTGCAAAGCATTGCATTGTCAGGCTCATCTAGCCTTCGGCTTTACTTTCTAATACCCTATTCGTGTACATACTTCTATGATTTTTTCATATATATCTACATGTTTTAAATGCGCCTGAAATTGACTACCGAATTTCGTTTCTAAAATACTTATTCATTCATTCACAGAGCGTGACAGTTGAATTTTAAATGAAAAAAAAATCAAAACATCAAAATGAATTTGAGTTAGAAAAGCAAAGAAATATTTTAGAAAAGCGTTTAACTCATTATCCGCCTTCGTGTAATACACTTGAGCCTTATGAACGTGAAATCGTTCTAGGAATGCTTGAGTGTGGCACAGCTCGTAAGAAACGAGCATGTGTACTCGAAGCCAAGTAAAATCGACCAAATCGAAAAAGAAAAGCTCAAGACGTAAAAATTTAACATTGTATGTAAGAGAAACAAATGTAAAAATGTGTACGTGATTATACCTTGCTTCAGTTGCTTTCCGGCACGCGCAGACAAAGTGTCCCCTGGTAGCAGCAGCAACGACAACAATAGCAACATCAGCGCCGAGCACGCCGACGCACGTTCCATGATTGTTACGGCAAAGGGTCATTCAGACATGGATTTTGTAAATTTTCTGGACAGCTGCATTATTACATTAGAACGCGAGCACAATCAAGAATTTTGACTAAGCACTTGACTTGAAATAAAATCGATTACTAAAAGAAACACTGTTTATTTCGATCGTAAAGTCAAGTAAAACAGCTGGCTTTGGATAATAGACAGCTGCGCGCGCGAGGGAGAAATCGATGAAAATTTGTACAGCCCGTCAAATAGACGTGAGATTTTCGTTGAATATCGGTTTATAAAAATTTTCATAAAGCTAATCGAATGTCGTTAGAAAAATTATAGAAAAATATCGCTTGTCGCTTTATTCGTTTTGTCGTAAAAAAAAGATCGTTATCGTCTTGGCTCGTCTTCGCGCACTCCGCTCTTCAATACTCATGCTATGAACCTGCATTTTAGTTCATTTCTCACTGAACTTTACACATAATTTTTCACAAATTCGCATAAATTTAAAGTTTTGTACACCAATGATAAATCACTGAATCACATGAAAATTGTTACACGGGAAAATCACACTTTGGAATAAAGAGGAAAAGAATGAAAGAGAAAGAACAAGAGTGGACGAGCTCGGATGTTCGTTACGGAAGCTATCGGTTCAAGCGCCGCGAGCTAACTGAACTACCGGCACGCTGAGATTTTGAAGCATACGTACAAGAGAGACGAGAGAAGCTGAGAGAGCTAGTCTCTCTCGCGCCAAAGCTGCGGCACGCGTTTGCAGCACGCACCATAGCCGCCGTCGCTGTACGCCTCGCCGTATAAACTCTAAGGTGGACCGGCTGCCTTGTTTCGTTCTCGTCGGGATGGAATCTCCCTCGCTCATCTTTTCCTCTTTCTCTTCCATATGCGCTCGCTGATATATTATTAAAACAGCCTTATGAATGAATATAGAGTGCGTCAGCGCAGACGTCCGATGCACAGAAATTAGAAAAGATCCCCACTTGCACTTTACATTTCTGATCAATTTCTATTCTCTGAACGATTCGAGCTATTGTTCGAATTAAGCGCTACTCGCACCACCTGTCGCTTACTGCTTAAACTTAATACAAAATAACAAAAGTTTAAACAAACTCTTCCGTGTAATAATGTATGATCAATTTCAATCGAGAAAAAAATTAGCTCTTCAAATTGCGAGGTTATAGCTTGAATGAGCTTTACGAGGTTCGTTAATTTATTAAAGGAACAGCATATCCGTAAAAAAATTTTTTTATCGAAATTCGGTCAAGTAACATACTTGAATTATAACTGAAGATTCACTGAATTTACTTAATATTGTTTAAGAACTTTCACAGAGAAAGATAAATGGAGCTTGTTGAAAAATAGCAATTAAATTATGTAGATTTGATTATTATTTTTATATCTCGCAGCCTGAAAAAACTCAGATATAGATAATTTTAAAATGACCAAGCCATAAAATGTCATCAAAAATTTTTAACCAAACAGTACCAGACTCATACTCATTGAACAATTTTTTTAAAACATATAAAAATGATTGATGTTGACTTTATAGAAATTCATAGTCAGAGATTAATCGATTTTTTCTGATATCATTGTGAAGTACATTACCACATGAAAATCCAATCTCAGAACTATATGACTGCGCCATCTGTTAGGTGTACTTCGAAGTATAATAATAATAATGAATCCATTATACTATATAGAAATCTTTCAAATAAAATCATGATTCCTGTTATATCGATAATTGGTAATAATTCGAATTTTCACTTTTTACCATTTCGTGAATAAAGAAATTATACTCAAGTCTAAATAATTTTGAATAAACAACAAAAATTCCAATTTAATAAGGATAAGCAGAAACTGAAAAATATCTAATTTCCTTGAAGTTAAAAGTTTTGTTCAATTGCTAATTTTTAAAATGTAAGCATTAAAGTCTCAACTGATACAAACATATTCACTTTAAACAAAATAACTTAATTTTTCATCAAACTTGCTTTTCCAGTTACAAAGGAAAATTTGTGTAAGGAATTTGAATTAATCACAAAATTTCTCATCAAAAATCTATATTTAAAATTTTTTTTAAGTCATTCGTCTGAAGAATAAATTACATTTTTTTAATTCGCCTTAGAACCTCTGTAGATCCATGAAGGACGGATCGAAAGGGCTAATATTTTGAGATTCCTATTCTTTTAGTATGTATTTTTCTCATATATGCAACATCATATTTAAACCATACACTAACGTAATGTCACCCAGATACATTAAGATGGCATTCTCATGGGAAAACTCGATTTATTTGTTTTTTTTTTTTTTTTTACATAGAATCGTTCCTCGGAATTATTAAAATACTCTCTCAAATTTTTAATATAAAATTCAGAAAGAAAAAAATGTTATTGACGATATAGTCTGAATAAAATTGTACACGATAAAATCACGTACAAAAACTTTGAACGCGTTTTTCTCCAAAACCACTTTTTTCAACTCGTGCCAACGACTGTGAGAAAACTATTAGTCTGACTCTAATGTTTCATAAGTCTTTTTAATCTTTACAATTTTCTCTAGAAAATAAACCTCAAAATTATGTGAAAAATCATCTGGCCCCTTCAGCTGGAGTTTTTTTATTGCATTTGGAGAATGATTTTCTTCCCTCTCCCTGGTCTTTTATAAGTTCTTTGTAATTCTAATATACGATTATAATTAACATCAATAATTGAATGAATAAACATTTGCATTTTCCAAGAGGAAGCTTTGTAATGAGCTCGAAAAAATTTTTTTGAACGAGTAGCACATCTAAAAAATGAAGCATTCAAATTTATTTAAGTTACATTTATTTTCGATTGTAATGAAAATCAAGCTCAAAACCCGTATTTTTTGATTAACAGTAAAAAAAAAATTTTTTTTTATTTTTTAAATTTTGGAAACATTTTTGAAAATTTTTTATTTTTTATTTTTTATTTTTCGTAAGATTGAATTATTTATTTATGGGATGAAATATTAAGTAGAAATAAAAGCATTGGCAAAATAATTCATGTTCAAGGAGGAAGCTATTGGCAAGTGAGTAGGTAGTATTTTTCAATACTGAGTATTGTTTAAAATAATAATCATTTTTCCACTTTGAATAACTATTTATTGTCGAGGATTTCAAATGATTGAGATTCGTTAATTTAAGAATATTTTTTTTATATTCGTAATTTTTTAATAATTAGTCAATTTAATGCATTTATAGAAAACAAGTTATATTTTTTAAAAATTGCCTAGTAAATTAAACTTTTCTTTTATAAACTGTAATCTATTATTATTATTATCTATTTTTATAGCTTTAATGCGTAGCTGATAAAGAAATATATCGCATTCGTAGTATCCAACTCCGCATCTTGATTTTTCATTATGCAATTTCGTTATGACGCTGCAAATCTTGTTTGGTATTTATATACTTTATTCAAGACATTTTACTCAGTTTTGATCGAATCGTCAAAAGCACAATACTTGCTGCACAATTATGGTTATCTGAATTTTCAAACGTTCTACTTACATTTAAAAGTTCTAAGAAAATGGCTTTACTAACACAATTTTGGGGTTTAGATATTTTAATATGTGCATTTAGTTTAGTTTTATGCGTTTACCTTTACGCGGTGAGAAATTTCAACTATTGGAAGAGAAGAGGATTTAAAGAAATTCCACCAACAGCAGTATTTGGTAATTTTACGGAATGTTTTTTGGCCAGAAAACCTCTCGTCAATGTTCTGAATGACATTTATGAGTACGAAAAAAATGAACCCTCCGTTGGTTTTTACGTGTTGGATAAGCCGTACTTACTTCTTCGAGATCCAGAATTGATAAAACATGTTTTGATTAAGGATTTTGCTAACTTCACCGGAAGAGTAGCTGATTCATATAAAACAGATGATGTTGGAAAGTTTAATCTTTTTGTTTTACGCAATCCAGATTGGAAATACATACGACAAAAAATATCACCCATTTTTACCTCTGGAAGATTAAAAAAAATGTTAGATCTTATGTTAGAAATTGATAAAGATTTAGATCAGTACATGAAAACAACCGTAGGAGAAGGTAAGCTGTGTTGAAATATTCTTTTTGGTTAACAAAAAACAATTTTGTTCTCGAATTAAATATTTATTTATATAATTATGCGATATGAAACTATGTGCAATCATCAATATTAGTTCATAATATTTCATGCAGGTAAAATTGTTAAATTGGAAGTTAAAGATATATGCGCTAAATTCACGACAGATGTTATTGGAATAACTGCGTATGGCATGCGATTTAATGCTTTATCCGATGAAAATTCTTACATTCGCAAAGTCGGAAAGACCATATTTAAAAAATCATACAAACGTCACCTAGAATTTTTGTCAACATTATTAGTACCGTCGATTGTGGATTTTTTTGGTTTTCATTTACTTGGTAAGGCTTCATCGCAATTCCTAAGTGATCTTTTTTATAGAGCTATGAAAGAAAGATTAGACTCTGGGACCAAACGAGCCGATTTGATAGATTTTTTGATCGATTTGAAAAAAGAGCAAGAAAATGGACTGGCGAAAAGTGAACGAAGTAAAATATTCACCTGATAATTGATGTCAATAAGTTAATTTAATTTTAAATCGACAATCTTTTATTATAGAAATCCATGATGGTCAATTGATCGCTCAAGCTGCAATTTTTTTTACCGGTGGATTTGAAACATCTTCAACAACTATGTCATTTGCATTGTATGAATTAGCAAATAATCCAGATGTTCAACAAAAACTACGAGAAGAATTGTTAGATGTATTGGAAATGAATAATGGAAAAGTGACTTATGACATGGTAGAATAAATTACTTTTAAGTTCTCTCGATAAACTGGTACCAATAAAAAACATTTTTTTACAGTTGATGAACTCACTTCCGTATTTGGAAATGGTCATATCAGAAACTTTAAGAATGTATCCAATTTTGCCCTATTTAGACAGGAAGCCAGAAAAAAATTATCAATGTCCTATAACAAAACTTGTTATACCAGCTGGTACACCTATAGTTGTACCAATGAGATCTATTCATATGGATTCTAAATATTTTCCACATCCAGAGCAATTTGACCCAAGCCGTTTTTCCGAAGAAAACAAAATTAACATTACACCTAATACTTACTTTCCTTTTGGAGATGGACCAAGAATATGTGTTGGTAAGGTTCTATATAGTTAATTTCAAAGCATAATAAAATTTGCTCTATAATCTTTTCAATTTGTATATTTTAGGAATGAGATTAGGAATGATACAGACGAAGCTAGGCTTGATTCGCCTTATATCAAATTATGAATTTTCACCATGTCCCGAAACTCTGAGAGTCATGCAATTTGATAATATGAGTGCTTTTTTGTCTTCGGCCGCTGATATAGTATTAAACGTTAAACGTATTTCAACCAGATGAGTAATATGCAGCTCAGGATGGTTATATATTTTTGTTACTCTGCTTTATGTTGTTATTGTATAATCATTAATGTCGTAGAAACTGTGCTGATGTAAAACATATTAAATTTTACAGTATTTTATTAAACATCAAAATAGTATATATTACAAAAACTAAGTTAGGGCTGCGAAAAATGTATACAAAAAAGTCAAAAAATTAATTGTCATTTTGGTTATACATGTTATTCTGCAGGTTAACTTGTTTTGTGTAATATTAAAGTTTTTAATTGAATGAATAAGTTAAGTATTATTTCGTAGACACCTTTTAGTATATATTTATTATGCGACAATGATAATTGGAAATAATCTAAAATTAAAAATAATTTTAATTTTAATAATTTAAAATTTACAAAACGCCTATAATTACATATAATTGGGTAAAATAATATTCGACTTCACTAATTAATTTTTATTTTTACATATTTATTCATATAGATTCATTTATTTATTTGCATAATATCTTATATTTGCTTTCATAATTTTCTATAAGACGGCACAAAGCTGAACGGCTAATGGTAAATACAAGTATTTTACAAATATGTTATGCATCTCAAGAATCTTTATGATTTTGAGAAAATCTCATGATTTTTTACTACTGCAAGCGCCTAGCTGTAGTTTTTATATATTCCTTGAAATACAAGATAAATCTGTAATGATACATATCGTCGATAAATAATTGACGACGAAAAATTGCCTAACATTATCATTTCTTACAAGTATTTCAAGTATTGTCAAGTTCGGTTCAAATTTTTCCATCAAACCTAATTTCCGAATAAAGTATAGTTATTTCAACTCAAACACTCGTATTTACCTTCACATAAACTATAATTTTTCGGAATTCCAATTCATCTTATTATTAACGCCAAGACAAATAATATTTGCTACAATTCGTAGAATCGCGTAATTGATCTGAGGGTAAGGTCTTTTGCGAAAATTAATTGACTTTTTACATAAGATAAAGTTTCTGAATGTAGATAAATCTTAATCTGCTGTAGAATGATCTTGACCAACATTATACTCGAAAATTAGAAATTCTATATTATTTTTCACTTCTCAGTCGTCTTGAAAGTATATGATAAAAAGTTCAACTAATTCTAGCAGGTAATATGGGAAAACATATTCTCTACCTACATGATCGTCGCTCATTGCTTTTTACATTTATGTATTGGTTCATTAGATAATTTGTGCTATAGCAAGTAAAAAAATAAATGTACCGATGGAAAATTGTGAATTACAAAAAAATTCAGATAACATTGAGAAGATTTCTTTTAAGAAATATTCATATTAGTTTGTTTGTAAATGAGTAAGAAAGTCAGTCTGGAGTATAATTATTATTATTTTTACTTCCATCATAGACTAGCACATACGATTTATAATTATAAAAAAAGTATTCGGAAATGTACAATATATCGATATTTTGGTGGAAAAGACTAGTTTTCACAGACTTGTTCTTAATGAGTTCTGTTTAAAATAAAACGAATAGTTTGTGCTATTTCTAACTCACTCGTATTAATATTTGTATTAAAAAAGATTTTTTGTATAAATCAGTCATGATAAACAGCGCAAGAAGGAAATCGTTACGTTTTTTTCGTAAAAATAGCTATTAGCATTTGTTGTACGCATTAAAAAATTATTCAATGACAGGAAATAGTAAATCTTGGACTATTAAACAGTCACGAACTACTAACGACTTTCGAAGCTTCAACGTTACTCTACAAAGGTTTTATCAATTTAAATAATAAAATGTCCAATGGAATTTACGATACAGTACATTACACATCATGAAATTTCGGTTGTACCATCAAACGCTCTCACAAGCTTAACCAATTTTTCGTTTTCTATATTTAAATACAGTCGCATCAACATTTATACATTTATAACTCTCACTCTCAAATAATAACATCTACGTCTTGGTATGTAGTTTTCGTTAGTATTCAATCTTTAATAAAAACGTTTTTTTGTTATCTGCGCGAGGATTTCGTACAGTTTAATATATAATAGCTTTAGTGCGCTGCATTTAACTATTTTTTAACTTCCTATTTGATTATACTATTAATAGACGTTTGTTATGTTTTAATTGTTTTTTCAACGTCAAACCATTTCAACTCTACTCAGTGATAAAAAGACGTCTCAAAAAAATGTATAATAGATTCGTAAAAAGGTAAATAGTTGAGAATTATTCTCCATACGGAACGATATGAAAAGCCATTTGGAAGATATGTTAGCTCGTTGATATTTTGTTTTCTTTTTAGACAAAGTACAAAAAAAATTGGTCGTTAAAAAATATGTTGATACGCTTGCGTCTATTTTGCGTGTCGGTTGACGCTCTGCTCTTTCCTATTTTATCACGGCGGAAAAAGCAAAACTGGGACGCTTCGTTTTAGTTGATGTCACTACTACGTCGGAGATACGATACTCTCGCGTTATAATCGACAATGAGTATAATATAAATATACAAACGCACAATATGAATGTATATGTGTATCCGTGACTTTTGCCATTAGTTTTATCGAGGTTTAAGTGATGCTGATGTTTGGTGCATCGAGTTTACAATCGAACGAAAATTTGGATGGCTCTTGAAAAAGTATTTTCGATATATGTTTCCTTTTAATTGATCGCGTTATTTATATTGAATAATGTAGATGTGTATATGTCACGCGCAGCGTTGACGACTCAATGCGGATCGTCGATATTGACGAGAAACGGCTAAATTTTCGAGCGGCGAGGGCACCACCACTCTCGTTCACCCTGCGGACTTTGGTCCAGGTCTTCCTCTGCAAGTGAATTAAATGAATTAAAAACATTAAAAAATACTCTCAGTTTGAAATAAAACATACTTATTGTTTTGGTGCACTCACCTACACAAACCACTCATCTTTCTGACCGGAAGATATTTCGCTATAACAAAAAAGTTTATTAGTTTTGAAATATTTGCAAATATTGAATCATTTGAAGCATATTAAAAACTTTATGACGAGTATATCAAATGAATTATTATCATCTTCCGTTAACCCATTGACTAGTGATAAGTAACAATTTCAATTGAGCCGTAAAAGCACAAATAACAAATTCCATTAAAAAAGATCACATATTACGTATTTGTACTTCACAAATAGACAAAATGCGGCTTACTTGTCAGAACCATGGTTTCTCACTTTGCCTGGCAGTAGAGGCGGACCCGGGCCGCGCTGTGCCCGTGCCTGAGGCCCGCAGGGCGCAGCCAGTTTCCCGGCCGCGGTAAAGTTGTTGCACCTTGGACACCGCTCATCGATCGACCCATTTTCAAATTTGTCATACCCATCGTCAGGTCTGTAGATGCGCCATTCATGCCGTACATTTGTTGCACTGTAATAAATGTAATGATCAGGCCTTGCGTTTTATTACTTCTTTATTCATTTTTTAGGAGTCAGGTAATTCTATTGGTATTTCTGCACTATAATTCAGTTGCCAAAGTACAATGTTGCCAAGAAAAATAATAACTCAAAAACTCGAGAATAAACTAAATTTGAGGGGTAACACCACTCTAGTGTTACAAAAAAGTAGCAAAACAGATGAATGCTTGATTTTAAAATTTTAAATCAATATACGTACAGGTATAAATGATAAGAAGTAAAATATTTTGTATTGTATAAAAATATTTTATGTGCAATAGTTTGATATAAAATACACATCTTATAAGCTAAAATTTATGAGTAATAAATGCAAATCAATTGTCTACATCTATTTTAAGTAACAAGATAACCTTATCAAGATCTTTAAAAAAATAATACAATTTTTTTCCACTTTGAAAACGACAATGCTTCAACTAAAATATAGGAACAAAGATATCACGCTATGAAAAACTAAGACTTAGTAATAGAATCAATATTTATAATAGTTATAATATATTCTTATACTATAGTAATCTAATTTTCTGGTATAATTTACAACAATTTTTTAAATGCACTATATTAACAATAAGTACGATATTCTCTTTCAACTCGTAGCTTTGTATCTTTAACAAGTTCACCTTAAAAAACACAAGAAACTTTAATCACGATACAATTTTTAAGTTTTTTAATAATTATACGATAACTCGTTATCATTAGTTGCTCAATGCACAAAATAAATATCACGTGGATACAGATGATTGATTTGTGAAGTTAGTTTTCAACAATCATTATCAAGGTATTGATTTCACATCCGTCTTCGGATTTGGTGCACTCAAGAAGGTACAACAACAGGAACAGCAACAGTAGTCGAAGACGAAACATTGATTTGAAATGGACCCTCGGCAAAGGGACTTTGACTTTTGGTTTTGACAAGAAAAAAGCCTCTGCGCGTTTTATCGACAAGGTCTCCAGCTAAAATGGCCGGATAGCGAGGGGGACAAAAGCCAAGTAGATAAGCAAGAAATCCTGGACACGGCCAGCCCCAAAAGCCAACCGGCGAGTTGATGGATTCAGCAAAATATTCGGCAGCGCGATGATGGCTGCAGCCAAACGGATTTCGCTTCTCCCAGCATCCCGGTTGATTGACGCCTCCGTTCATGTAAAAGTCGAGGTGGCCGCTGGGCTCGAGCTTGCCCTGGACAAAGGCGTTGGTGTGTAAGACATCGACGAAAAGAGCATCGTCGGCGTCGAGCTTGTCGTGCTTGGAGACGGTGACGAAGAGCGGCATAGCTGGATCGAGGCCGGTTACGCGCGGCAGCTTGTACGGCGCCAAGCGATTGGCGGTGAAGGCCGGCACGTGGGCGCCGAGGGAGAAGCCGATGACGTGCAAGTCCTCGGAGCCGGCGGCCCGGAGCCGCTCGATCAGCTGGGCCAGACAGTGACCGACGTGCGGCACGTTGTGCACGGCCACGGGATAGCAGGGCCCGGCGGCCAAACGGTGCCAGTCGACGGCCACCACGTTGTGCGGGCCGCGCGCCAGGTACTCGCTGCGCATGTCCACCAGCGAGTCCAGCTCCATGTCGGAGTTGTAGCCGTGAACTATTATCTTGGTCGGGTCGGCGGCATCGAAGTGGGTCTCGTTGAGGTTCGAGCCGCTATCGGTCACGATGATCTCGTGGCCGCGTGCCGAGTTGCTCCTCGTGTACAAGAAAAAGCTCACCTCGGGGTCCGGACAGGTCTGGTTGGTATTGACGAGGCATGGCCCGATGAAAAAATCTTTGGGCGTTACCAGCAGCTCGTTGTGCTCGAGTCGGTGTGGAAAGTCCAGGCTCTTGCTCAGCACCAGATACAGCATGTTGGTCAGCAGCAGAAAGAGCAGCAGCGCGAAAAGGAAGGCGCGACGCGAGCAGAGCATGGCGAGGCAGCGCCAGCAGCAGAAAGAGCAGCAGCAGCAACGACAGCGGCCTCCGCGTCTTCGATCGCATTTGAAGGAGCCTGCAGCACGGCCGAGCTCCGGATCGCCTGTCAAAGTGGACGAACTATTTGTCCCGTGTTCGGATGTCTGGGAGAGGTCGGTTTGGCGCGGCCACGTCCGGACCAGCAATGAGCGGAGCATCGCGCGCAAAAAGTCAGTCGGCTCGTCGGCCGCTCGCATGCATTATTCAGCGAGCGAGCCAAGCTGCAAAGCTCGCACGTACGGCCAATGCGATATGTAAACACGCACTCACAAGCTGACAGTTACTTTTTTTGCTCGCGTCCATTTCGCTGCTCGTATACGTATATATAAACGTGCGCACAGCTGCTCCGGAAGGACTGGCGGCGTGACAGGCCGCTGCGAGATTCTCTCGGTGCGTAAGCTACGCGCTGGCAATGCCGGCATCGAATAACGGAATCCGTCCTTATCTCGCGCAGCTCACGGGCACAAGTGCCTCTATCGTAGCTCGCTTCTACTGTAATGGCCTTTATAGCCTGCGCGTAGCTGCTTAGCTGTGTGCTTATCGAAGGTGAGATAACGTTTGAAAGATGAGCAGACCAACTCACCGGTTTGAACGAATATAGCCACATCGTGCGCTAAAAATCTCGCTCCCGATTTGTTTCGTACTAATTTACGCGCACGTTCGAATTGCTCGCCATACCCGCCCTTTGCCTCCTCGCTTTTCATACGAAACGACGCTTTTGCAACGGGCTATATGCAATGGATGCATTCAACGAGAATCAAATGAAACATCGCGCATTCTCGCGGCCGTAATCGAGTCGATTCGAAAAATAACTCGCTCTCGTAAGAGAGCCTCGCATGACGTATCGCAGCAACTCGAAGCGGAGCTACTAAATGTTTCAAAATACCCAATGAACGTGCCTGTACACACGAGAGCTTGCAGCCGGCGCCGCTGACTGCACATGCACCAAGTATACTTGCTTGACACGCGCGATATTAGCATATTTATGAATTTAAGATGTTAACGCGCCAGATGACTCGCGTGATAACGGCCAACCAAGTATATGAAAGAATAATGGTAGAATTTGACAGTGATTTGCCATCGGAATTCAGTAAAAGATAAGCTTTAATAGAAATTTTCTCATTCTGATTAGAGAATCGCGTGACCTGCAGTACTTTGACTTTCGGCCTGCATGAGCAAGTATCTCTGATCAAACTTAAACGTATACCGCACCGTTTTGGTCTGCTCGACATAAGCTTAAACATCACTCCATTATTGAGCTTTACTCGTGAGCCATAAGTTACAAAAATGGGAGATACGTGACAGGTTGCAGGTCACCTTTGATCTACTAGTGCAAATGAACATCGATGATTTTCTCAATGTCGAGTTTGCTTTCTAAGGAACGACACTTGAATATTGATGCTTTTCACTTATGAAAATTTCGCGGTAAAAGTTACATGCAACCGTTGTTTAATTATTAATGAGTCGATAACAGGAAATTTGTTAAAAATCATGAGACTATTCTTTGATTTGGCTATGCAGGGCATGATTTCAGAAAATTACATACAAATCACGTCAATAAAAAGCTTTTTTTTTTTTTTTAATGGGAGCGATGGGCTCAATTTATTTAAATAAAAAAATGTATTACTAATAATGTATCAATAAAAAGCTTATATTTGATTTAGATGGTTTTATGACTTTTGTGTACTTCCTTAGAAAGTTTGAATTTTAATTTAACAATATTGTTAACCTCTTCTGACAACCGATAACACATAGTATACATTATTTACTTTATGATGATATACTAGGAGTCTCTCAGAATGGATAATGTAAAACTAATTTATGCATCTTATTGTGCAGAGCAGAAACTTTGCAAAGCACTTAATGTGGATTCATGAAATAGAATTTACATCGTTATTTGAAGCTAAATAAACATTGAAACAAAAATACATTCACATGAGCAAATAAAAGTTGATATAAAAAATAAATTTATATAATACCTGAGCTTTTTGTCAGTGTTATTTAAAGAAAAAAAAACTTTCAACACCACATTTTTTAAAAATATTATTGATTAAATCAATAGCAATAATATAATAAAATAATGGTAAACTATAATGATAAATGAAAAAAATTTATTTCCGTTGTGGGTTTAAAGTGCCGGTCAAAAAAGGTTAACCTACTCTATTAATGATACCATTTTAAAACGTATACCAGTAAATAGAAGCTGTAAACCAAAGAATGAATGTTGCGAAATTAGCTTCAGAAAGTACCATACTTTCAATTTTATAATTGAATATCATGTTTCATTGTTTATGCAATAACAGAGTTGAATTGCAGTATTTTTATCGAATAGCTTACTTCAAGTAGTTAAAATCACTAATAATTGTAACGATATTTTAGAAATATTTGATTCTAATTGCTTAGACTCTATAAAAATAAGTTCTGCAACGAAAAAACTATAGAATGTTTATTCTTTTCAATAAAAAAAACAACAAAAATTTTTTTCATTGATTAAATAGTTTCATTCGCTAGCGTATTGTTCAAAATGAAACAAATATCGTCCAAAAAACATTAATGATTGTTATAAAAGCTATTGTCTCAAAATTCATTGTTGAATTAATTTGATATAATAATCGTTCATTTACTGGGCAATCAACTTTATAATGATTAATGAATAAATGAGCTTGAAAATCTTATGAAATTGACTATAATCGGCAGGAAAAAAAAAATTAAACAACGAAATAATTCGATACTTTTTTCTCAATCCGCAAGGCAGCACAAGTACTTTCGAAGCGTAGCAATTACTCTCACTCTCCGATTGGTCGTTTAAAAGCTTCCGAGATACGTGCTATTATTGAGGTGAGGGGTTAACTCTGGATTCTATGCAATTGCTGGCACATTAAAATGTGTCTCGTTGACAGGTGAATAGCCGACCTAGTTCCCCGATTGTGAGAAGTCACCGCGAGTTATATTTGCTCAAGTACAAAGAGAAGCGGATCCGAAGCGCGTACGTGAGTGCGTTGACGAGAACGAGTCTGGAAATCTTAATTAATTGAGTCCAATATAGCCCATTGTCAGATTTGAGCCTACTTCAGTGCTGCAACTTAACAGTACTTGCAATGAAATATGCCAGTAGGTCGATTGACGTATTATATTTCATTTCTTTCATTTTCTTTTCCTTTACTGCGACTTGAGTTATTCTGTCACTACGCATAATATGTATGCACGTACGCGATGCATAAGAGTATACCACTTGTACCTAAAGTGCGGTTCTTTTTTTTTGTAAGCCTCGTGCACTTGAACGATATTCAGATATGAATTTATATTAAAGCTCTTTTATGTAGTTTACGTGTAAAAGACGACAATCGGTTATTTTCGTTCGAAAACGGATCAACGGGTCATTGTGTCTCGAAATCAAAATATTTTACTGTGAAAATAACGTCGCAGTTAATGAAAAAAAGAGGAATTTCGCACGGAGACTGTGCTTTTACGTTATGTCGTTCCAAAATAATTTACACAAAGACACATTCTAAATTACAAGTTTTGCCATCGAGTAAAAAAGTAATTTTAGACTACGTCAAAAAAACGTACCAAACTAAAGCATATATAAAATAAAAATTTTCAATGAAAAAATTGCTCCAAGCTTGATTGAACATTTTCTACGCAAGTAACAGAATAAAAATCACTCATTATAAAGCTTATATAATCATATTTATTAACGTGTCTCATAAAGATTAAAGGTAAAATAAAATATTATTCATAAAAAATAGTGAGTTTATGTATATTGGGCAGTGCCATGATATACTACATTTTATTTAGAGCTAACAGTTATTTTCATGAGTATGAGTTTGAAGTGAGTATAAAATTGTAGAAAGCTTCTTTTAGCGCTGAGAGTTACCTCAGCCGGCAATAGCTAATTTGCACTCAGTAAAAATACACTTGACTAGATTTTCTAGCTCTAAATTCTAATAAATTTGGCTACAATAAAGCTCTGTTATAGCAGCAATATAGCAGCCGTTATCTGCTCTACATGCTCCATTAAATGGAGACTGCCTAAGGCTATAGTGCGAGCTTCTGCACTTCGTCTTAAATTTTGAAAGCTTTGATACGAGAGCTATTGATCGTCATCAACTTTCGATGCAACTGACACTTTTAAGCGAAACGTAACGCGTAAAGAATAAATTGGGCTCTGCAATACGGTGTACAATGTAAAAGTTCTCAATCAAGTTCCCACTGCAGTGAATAATAGCCGTAAACGAAAACGGACTTTAATAATTTATGATACTTAATGTTTTGAATGGTTGTTTTTAAACGCGTTTTTTATAATCATACACAAGAGAGATAAAACATTGAGTATTCATTCAGATACTCTTGAAAGCAACTTCATGATTTTTAAAATAAATAATCGAGGTACAGTAATACTGACGAATTGAATAGAATAATTTTCAAATGTCAAATAATAAATAAAAAAATATTCAAAGAAGAGAACTATGGTCAATTTTTAGTGAAGACGAACGGCAATAAAAAAAGTTTCGTAACAGTATTCGGATCATGCTATGATTCCTCGTTTAGCAAAAAATCCATCACTGCACGCGTTGAAAAACATACTATTTTTTAACAAAACCATAACTGCTCTCATAGAGATTTCTCTATTTATTCATTCGACTATAATATAAGTGAATCAGCCATATACAATAGAAAAATTATAATTTCGAGATGCAGGAAAAATAATAATCGCTACAGTACTCACTGGGGTAGCTGACGGGCGGATGTCCTTGAGCATTACCGTAGACGTTGTTAAGGTGCTGGCCGTGTCTGGGCGTCGTGTTTACTCGTTGTCTATAGAAGCAGAGCACGGCAGTCGCCACGAGGCCAGCCATTGTCAGGACCGTGCAAACCATCAACACAGCAAACCAAGTACTCTCGATGCCGAGGATCGTCGACGCCTCCGTGTCTGTGGAAATTCATTGAGGTTACGCTCGTCATCGTCACCTGTTCACTTCATATGGTTTTGCCTGTTCGCACTGACATTTTCAATTCACGCCTACCCTGTCTACGCACGAACGCATTTCGATTTGCCACTAGCAGTCTACGCTGCATTATTATTGTTTCGGCTATAGACATTAGCTCGTTATGCCACGGACATTCAATTTGAATACATGAAAGTGATTGAAGTGTTGCAAAATGCATACTAATCTAATAAACTAACGGAGACTGATTAAAGCTATTTATAAATGTACTTATAAATTGATGTTAGCAATTTCTTATTTATTGCTAACACGAAACTTTATTTCACTTTGTGTACTTTTTTTCAAGTACGTAGTATTTACTGTGCTTAAACAAACATAATAAAAAAAAAATTTCTTAGTACATACATTAGTATGGTTTAGATATTTTTTTCAACATCAAGTTCGTTATAGAAATGTTCGAGAAAAAAAATGAAACATTCAATACTCACTGACGCATACGGTGGAAGCGGCTTCGTCAGATCCATCTTCACAATGATTTATGCCATCACAGACGAGGTCAGCGTCGATGCAAAACTCTTTCAGTGTGCATCGGAAATCCTTACAGGCGTGTTCTACAACAAAAATCATTAAAACCCAATGTTAATCATTGTCACCCTTTTGATTAGAGTAACTATTCTGTGTATTATATAATTCTATAATGGAGATTTGGTGAATGTTTTCACTCGTTCTATATCACACAATCTTACTTCAGACGTAATAAACTTTGAGATATCAATATCTCAAAGAAATTTGAGACATTGATTGAGTTTGAGAAATCGATTCAATAAATAAATATTGACGTGAGTTTTAGATGACTCATATTACCTCGCTGTTGGGGTGTACTATCCACATTAAATGTGACTGATATGAATAATGATTTACATAAGTTTTATTATAAACTAGCGACCCCGTTGTGGCTTCGCCCACGTTCAATTTTTTCGAAAAATGTGAAGACGTATTTGCAAAATGATACTATAGTACCCAATATTTTTAGCTTTGTCTATTGGGATGTATATAATCGAATTCGACTGTTTAAAAGCTCTTAAACAGGCCATGTCAAGTGCGTAGCAGAAAATGTCTAAGTTGAGTCCACATCCTTGTAAAATACGAATAGCGTAATAACACATGTACACATCGAATACAATGCATGCCGATTGACCGCGTGTAAAAAAATAACTGCTTTCGGTCTTTTTTATTACCATTGACCTGGCAATGGGCGAGCGAGCGCGCGAAGTGGTAAAAAACGAAAAAAATTCTGAACTCAAAAATGAAGAAGTAAATAATGGTTTTAATATGATATAAACCTGCGCGATAGTATAATGAATGCTTGGTAAAAATTTCATTTCGTCGACTTGCATACTATAGTGAGGAAACGCTGGAGGTATACAAGCAGCAGCATACAGAGCGAGTCTTTTCATCAATCGTACAGACTGGCAACTAATTGCCCAGTGTGTCGAGGCTTAGACAGTTGCATCATTATAGAATTGACAACTGTTCGTCTTGTATCAAGGCGTTTAGATGCTGCGTCACTGGCGTACATATATATGTCAAAGATCGCGCATAAAAAGAGTCACGCTGGGTGCATGCATCTCACAGTTGACAGGATCGTTATATGATGCGAATTATAAGCTTGCGATACGATTAGCTCCAAATGACGTGGCTCTATACATGTAATTAAAGACATGCACCTGTAGACTCAAGCCTCTACCTCAAAGGATGCCATTCTTCATTACTCTTCTTTCTACTACGCTTAAAGCTACGATCCTAGATGTCATGCATTACGCACTTAACCATGCATGGATAAACCTAACTGCTAAAACTATGGAATTGATTTATTGATTTTGGCAATTAAGTTTCGAGCTTATTGAAACCGAAGTTGGGCAGTTTTAGATTCTTCTTTAGATTATTTCCCTCCAAAAAACTTATTGTTAGAATCCTAAGCCAATATATATTTCTTATCTGCGAAGACTGAACGGAGAGAAAAAGAAAATCTAAATTGATATGTTTAAGAAATCGATTCGATTTACATGGAAGACTGAAGAGAAGCTGAACATAGAAGGTCAACTTTATTCCTATAATGTCAAGCCTACTGGACCTCCTTCTTACACACGTATTTCAACCGACATGCAGGTTCAAAAGATTGAATAACTAATGTCATATTCAAAAATCAACTACACTAACTAAAAATAATCTAATTCAAGGGTAGATTTCTCTTACACCGACAGTGGATCTCATATCATGTGAAGGTAATTTATTTGGACCAAAATAATATACTTTTTTCACAAAACTATTCACATGTGTGTAACCGATTTATAAACCCTTTTCGTATGATACCGTACACAGTACAAGAATCCCTAAGTGGAAATTCTAGACCCCCATGACCCCCAGGACGCTCGAACTCTCTACACTCCGGACGGACATCTTTTTCTATCGATACAGATTCTTTCCATTTTTAAATTAAAAAACTCGCAGAGTTACTTTGCAACATTCCAAAACCCTTTCATTTCATTTTATTTTCTTGGATACTTCCAAAAAAATGAAAAAATTTAATAATGTTAAAATCTATTTCTTGTGGTGTGAGGGTCTTTTTTCTTTTTTTCTAGAGTAGGAATTATACCTCAAATTTCTTCAGATTTTTTCGAGTTGACTAACGCATCTCTTACAACGAAAATAGTATATTTTTCAGCGGGTGCCGTTATGATTTTTTTAGCAAAATGAGCGATTACAGAACGAGCCAAAGGCGAATGTTGAAAAAATTAGTAAAAACAATCTTTTTATTCAATTTTTTAATTCAAATTAGGCTGTGTAATGGATGTTATAACTAACCGTGCAACGCTGAAAACCACGCAGCCAAGCGATGACTATGAATAAGAGAAATGTAACCTCCTGTATTACCCATAGTTGTAATAAGAAATACACTCTGAAAATGTCCTGACCCTACACAAGGAACCTCATTTTTTTATTAGAATGACAAAAAAGGAAAAAACGTGTTTTTGGAAATACTGAGCTGAGCTGGATGAAATGTTCGGATGAAAATGCAACGTTTTCTCTGACATTACTAAAGCTGATAAAATTTCATATCAAACTTATTACTTTTTTTCTAGGTGTATTTTGGCACTCTTGGATTCTCTAAGTGGAAACAGTAGCGTTTTGTAACCAAAAATAGCCCTTCCTCCCCCATTTAATTAACGACGTGTCTATTCAGGGGAAAATTCGTACACGATTCCTCAAGATTTTCGAGTTTCGTGTACGAAAAGCATACTGTTTTTGAGATCTCGAATTTTCTTCTGATTAACCGAATCCTTTAATAAAATATGCGTAAATAGATTAATATCGAGAGAAGATAAAACAAGTTTGAAGAAGCAATAAACAGTGAATAGCAAACACTCTCGTCTTGGTTCAATCTTTCTGTAGGTCTTAACAAAGCTCGAAGTTACGCCATTGATAGTAAAACTCTTGAGTTCAGATTTAAAGTTAGTGTTTACTTTTCTCAAGCTCATACACGCAGGGTGGACAATTACTCATCGGTGTGCACGTGCACGATCTCACAGAATGTTCAAATGAAAACCAGACTACAACTGCGATTCTCAAGAAGAAAGGAAAGTAGGAACCTTGTAATTGTCCGTTTTATTATTATCATTTTTTTCAACGCATTAAATAAACGGGCGAGTGATAACACCTGCAAGCACACATGCCGACTAGTTACAAAAGAACCATGCTTCATTTCATAAATTATTAACCAAAAATGTCTCAAATGCTAGTAATTTTTTTACACATTTGTAAGGAATAAATTTATTATTTATCTGCTCAAAAGAAATAAAAAAAATTATAAAATTCATTAAATATCTTTGAAATTCATTTTTATAAATTGTATATTTTTTTTCTTGTATCATTCCTTCTTGAGAAGGGCCTGCGGGAGGCTATAGCCCGTGCGCAGGAGAGATTTAACTATCCCCGTCCCTACTGCCTCACGTTTGCCCAGGTTCGAGGAATGATTTTTGCACATATCCCACATTTTTTATATCCCTTGCACATTTTCAACGAATTTTTTGCATATTTTAAAAAGTTATAATGCAATATTTGCATACTTATTTTGGCTGATTTGTTGCATTTAATTCGGATTCTAGTGATGATAATTAAGTCGTTGAAATTATACATTTATACTTGTTGATTTTTGGAGATGAAAATTAAATTATTATTATTATTAAAAGTAAATATATAGCAAAAACCAGAATCGAAAGAAATGAAAAAAATAGTAGAAAAAAAATATTTTATACCAAACTTTATTTAAAAATTATACTAACAAAAAACAGTGTCAATCAATATCGAATGTATACTCCATAAGCTAGATTTTAAATAAAGTTCTCGCAAAAAAATAAAAGAGTAACTATTACAGCGATGGTATTGTACTTTAATATTATACTATCATAAGCATTTGAAAAATGTAAATATTTTCAAAATCAATATTTTGCGTTGAGTAGTTAAAAAACGTTACATATCCGGAAAAGTTGACGAAGCTAAAAATATGATAAAATCCGGAGACAATGAAAAAAGGTAAAATAACGAAAACTTATGGTAGCGAAAAATTTGGCTGGGGGAAAAATCGATTTACGCTCGTCGGTCTAGAAGAGAAAAGAAAAATGAAGCCATCTTGCTTTGTGAACATCGATACGTTACAAGAAACCATCATATTGTGCTAGTATATATACCTAGGGGTACAAAGATACGGCTGGATTGAAATCAAACAACGCATTACAGAAAAGGAACTGACGGGCATGAGCAAAACTACTATTCGGCGCGTATATGTGCATGTGCACAACGAAATACGAGAAAGAGAACGAGAGAGAAATAGAGAGAAAGAGAGGCGTAGGCAGACAGACTGAACTCGAAAATGGCGGAAAACCGTGTACAGAGAACGAGTACGAAAGCATAGGAGAAGAAGGTGGAAGAGAAGAGAAAATAGGCCAGCGAGTCGTGTCTGTGAGAGCAATGCTGCTCTCGCACGCGCGGATAAAATGGAAAAATATAAGAGATGTCGGAACAACGAGTAGCGAGTGCACGCGGATGGAAGCGGCTACGCGCGCACTGTCGAAGAAAAGATGCAAAGAAAAGCTTCTGTTATACACAGCTGCAAGCCTAGAGCGAAACGGAAGTCTCGGCCACCGTATACCTATGTATTCTCTCCGCCTATGCTCTTGAATCAATGCTGCAGTAGCAGCAGCGCATTCACACAAAAGAATTGTAGTAAATCACCCCCGCGGATAACTTTGTTTGAAAAATCGAATCTCACCCGCGCCCAAATTGCCGCTGATGTTACTTTTGCGTGCATAAAACAAAACGACGTACAAAATCTTCCTTCAACACTCATCAAAGAAAGTAAAAGGCGGCAACTCAACTTTTTTGCGAGCCACGTTTATAAAAGTGTAAAATAAATTATATAATCATAAAAACTTGGACATCTTTTGATATAATTTGATGCTATCAAATTGAAATTCCAGACCCATAGAAGTAGCGGGAATAATGTATACAAGTGAATTCATAATTTCATTTAGTTTATTATGTTTTGAACTCTACTACTCTCATAAGTTGTATAATTTTTTCCACGAACCATGATTGCAAAAAAAATGATTTCTTGTACTCACTTGGATCTTTGACTGCTGTGATGACAAGCTTAAAGCCATTGGAATCAGTACCCCAAGAATCTGTCACGTATTTTAAAGTAACAAAATTTGTTTGCGTATAAATAGCTCCCACACCTTGCATTGTATTTTTGCAGGACAAGTCCGCCTGTAACAAAATTTTGACTTATGTAATTTGTGAAATTTATAAAATTAAATACTTCAAAATCAAACATTTTCCAGAACAAATAACGAAAAAACTGAGATATTATAGATATAACTCGTTCCATGTGACTTGGCAATTATAAATCAGATGTTATTATTATTAACATTTTTGCGAGTTTACACAGCGAAAAAGAGCTTGCTCAAACCATTTCGTACTTCAGAAGAAATGTGTTACATATGATAATTTATGAAGTAACTTCTCTAATACATATTTTCATCCATCTTTTTGAAGCTTCGACATTGTAATGTTTACCCTACTTCGTTAATGCACATAATTTTCTCGCTTTTTTACGTTCAAATTCTTTTTGCTATTCTCCCTATGACCAATGAAATAGCAGCAAGCGGCCAATGATAATGCGAATGAGCTATGTACGAATAAAAAGTGCTTAGAATTGACCAAAGAACCCTTGTGAATTTGTTTAACAATTTTTGCAGCAATTTTTGGATTTTTAGATATGACCATTTTTCGAAAAATCCTCTTTTCGAGTATATTTGATTATTATTGAGATCAATAATTTTTGACTTTGGAATTCAGAAAAAAAATTGAATGTAATTTAAAATGTGAAAATGACAGATCGAATTTGTTTATCAATCGTACCAGTTGTTACTTTTTAGTAAAGATATACAATTTTAAACATATTTCACATAATTTCATCGATATTTATTTCATATTATACTTTCAAAGAATCAATAAAATATCAAAGTACATTATTTTAATTTATATTTTATTTTGAATGGACGCCAAAATAATTGAGGTTAAATGTTGAAGGTATACAAATTGCTACATGAATATATAGCAATTGAATCATCGCTGCGATTATACATGAGCACGGTCATAATATGTGCATATAATCGAATTGTGGAACTCCAAGCGGATTAATATTAAACCATAATTCAAGTACGAAATATTTACGAATTCATGCTTGGATTGTCTTTCAACTTCCAAACACGTCGATTGATTTTGATTTTTTCATATTTGCTTGAGAAGTTCAGGTGCATCTGCCCATTTATCAACATTTTATCGAGAATTGAGAGAAAAATAAAGCTTTTCTTTTTTTTATAGATCCAAGTTTGTTAATTTTTTAGTTGATAGTTCGGTATGCTTTTAAAAGAAAAAGCAACATAATTTTGTCTTGACAAGGCTGGACATCACATCGGTGAAACGTCAACAGTTTTGTTTTTATGAATAATTTTGACGGTTGTGAAAAAAAAAAATTTTACTATCAAGAAAAAAAATTATTTTGAATTATATGGACATTTTCAAATATAGGAGGTGGGGGTCTTGACTAAATTAAAAAAAAATTATTTACGAAACACTGAAAAATAAGCTAGCTACAGAAAATTTTTACACGCAATGTAAAAAAAATCCGGTGGACCGGTATTTATACACTATTTAAGTAGATAACATATGAGGTAATGACGTCAAGATAATTTAACGTTTTACATTTTTAAATGCTTTTTACCAACATATACGATGACTTTTTACCTGCATTTTTTGACTTCAAAATGGTGCCAAAAACTCAAAAATCCTTTTAAAAGAAATAACTCGACGTCATTACTTCATATTTTATGTAGTTTAATTGTTGGAAAAATTTGGAAAAAATCGGTCGAGTAGATTTTCAGTTACAGTGTCCACCTGAATCGATCTTTTTTTCAGTTATGCGAGAAAATTTGATGTAGTTAGCTTATTTTTCACTATTTTTAGCTGAAAATTTAACTGAATGTTCTTTAAATAAATATATACAATGTATATAATTTATAGATAAATCCATTTTACTATTTGTTAAAAAAAAATTATTAAAATGAAACTCGAAAACTATCGAACAGACCCTACCTCCTCCTTAACTGAGAATCGGAAAAATATATTCTTGTATTTGCCATGAAATTATTGTCGCGCTTATAAAGAATTTTGTATCGAAGGCTGACGATATCATGACCATAACTACTGTATTTACTTGCAAAAAATAGCTCCACGGTTTTTCTATTGAGCATTTCGTATTACATGGCAATTTTTCATGCTACTTCAGCCGAAACTAACATTTTCGGCCCTACGGACAGAACGAATTAATTTCTGCTTAGGCTAAATAAATTATTATTTAGCTTAATAATAAAAAATAGTAGAGGCACCTTTATAGCGAATAAGCCTCAGAGTACTGAAACATGTGCTCTGCGTCTTTCCCATTTTTTGCTCTCTAGACACATAATCTACTATTATGAGCTGCTAGTGAAAAACGAAACTTAAAAAATGTACATAAATTGTCAAAAATTATCAAAATAGTTCAAATTCTTTATATGAGTAATTTTCATTGACTATTAAAATATTAGAAACTGCTACTTACATCGAAAGTAAAGTCTTCAGAGGATCAAAGGGTACATATTTTATCCCCTAACTTTTATGTTAATAGCAAGGAAGCGCTTAAGAAAATCAAGTACAAAATTATAATTGCAATGAATTCTTTGAATTTTACCAAATTTGATTCAATACATGATTTTAACAATATATTAAGTTGTTTATTGTTTGAACAAAAATAACTATTGTTTAAGGTACATGCCCTTATTTTCGATCAATAATTAATATTAACAACTTAATTGTACGTAAGAAATTTTTTTTAATAATTGGCTGAATGAATCGAACATCTTCAACAGAAATACATTATTCAAAATCAGATATCAAGTTTCAATCGTATATAAAAAATGGATTTAAATTTGATCGAAATTAGGGCCTAACTGATCGAAAATAGGGGCGTATACCTTACACATTGTGTTTTAAATATTTATTTAAAATAAAAATTATGTTTTTTACTTTTAAAATTGAAAAAAAAAATTTTATTTTAATTTTTTTAAATAATTTAATAATTTATTTATTTATTTTGAAATTTTTAAATATTAAAAAAATATATTCAAAATTGTTCAAAGAAGCCCACTGGAATTATTCAAAAGAGAGAAACTTTTTTTTGGTTTGTCTGGTGTAGTATGGACATATTTTACCATCATGATAAGAAAATTTTAACTATTTTGATAATTTTCAACACTTACTAAATTTCAGCTCAAAATGTAGGATTGCTCCGTTAAAAAAAAGGAGTATTCTTAAAATTGTATTTACATCTATTGAATGTCTCCTAATTATTGACTCAATGATTGAACTAAAAAACCTTTTGTGTTTGTAGAGTGCGAAAGTTTAGACATGATGTAGGACTGATGTACGTTGCAAGCTTGCAGCAAGCATGCAGCTCATAACTTGGAACTCACTGTGGCACATATTTGACTTGGAAGTAGAGAGCAATTTTGTTTAGAAAAGCGCAGATTAGCCAGATTGTCAAATTCACTGCATATAAGTACGTATACATTTGCAATAACTGAGCGCCGGGCGCCTCTAACTGAACGAATAAGAGAGAAAGGGAGAGAAAGAGACAAGGTCAATGGCCGGTGCAATACACGCCGGCATCTGCTGGATCGATAACCGTATATGCAACGAGTTAGCAGAAGAACCGACTGTACAGAGAGCTGCTGCTGCTGTGCACAAGAGCCTATAGAATTGCGCCGACACCTTCGCGCTTGTTTCATTGCGTCCCTGAACAATTCCGAATTACAACGAGTGCAGTCGTAGTGCCCAAGCTAATTATTGCTTCGGTAATTTTCTATTTTATTTATGTCTCTGTTCGCCCTGCTTCGCCGCTAATTTCAAAGCTGTTGTCTTCCAATCAGTAGTATAGTAATTGTGAGCGATTAAAAAGCCTTTATTCGACGATTGCATTCCAACCAGTTTACTGGTGAGCTTTTGACGAGTTCTCATTGCCAAGCACGAATTCCGTCCTATGCTCGCTTCGACCAAATCGGTTCGTATGTGTATATGGTCGAATTATATGGAATATGATTTTTAACCTCTTCAGTACCATTTCAAACCAATTACTAAATTTTTCACTAGAAATCCAATACTATTGCAACTAACCATATAGCCAATAAAAGTTTCGCTAATCCACCTACCAATTTAATATTATTGGAGTCACGAAGGATTTTTCTTCAAATCGATAAAAACCTTGAGTACGTAGGAACTATTTTAACTTTAATTTGCAGCTCTTTTTGACTTTCTTTATAAGTAATACCGTTGAATATCATTCAAACTTGATTACATGAAATTTATGATTAAGTAGGCTATAATTATTGTTCATTAAATTAAATTACTCAATGTTCATTATGAAAATAATAAGAGGTTTGAAAAGCCAGTAATCCTACTATTATTGCCTCTTTGACGTTAAGATGGTTCAAGCTTGAACAAAAAATTCGCGGCATTTGTTTGTCTCCCGGTGAGAAATTGCTATCTGATACAAGATAACTTCATCGAAGTAGGTTCGTACATCGTATGGAGCATTAAACTGGTTAGATGATGTGAAGCGCGTTTGGCCAATCAATTCCAACCGGCAGAAAATTAGTATTCTCTGTGGGCCAGGCACTAGCTTCACATTTTGGTAAGTTATGTCTTGAGGATGACGATGTAACGCTAAGAATGCAAGTATGCGTGTATTTAAGTGCGTCGAAAACGTAGCGCAGCATGAATCTTATTTTATTTGCCCCGTCGAAGTGATTCATGTGCCGACCGTGACATCTCGGCCTTTCGCACAGGCGATAATTTTATACTGCGCCCCCTCGCTTTCACTGCGTACACACACAGATACACATTGCGCACAGACTGTTTTCTTTGTAAGCCATTGACGAATGATTTGAGTTATTCGACGAGTTATCTATTAGTCTTTCAGGTAGCTGACAAAGCTGAATCCCCTTAATGTTTTTGTTTTGCCTGGTTGGCTCACCGATTCTCTTTCACGTCGTATTTTTCTTTGAAATTTTTGATTTCATACATATTAAAAGCACGCAGGACTTTTCATGTTAATATATTTAAGAATAAACCTGTTGTGAGATCGATATAATATGTCGCGAAGTGGCCACTCAGACGAAATTCTTGATTTTCGCATAAGAAAATGACAATTTTTCAGAGAAATCAAGGGTATCTAGGCTTATTTGGAGTTTCATTTACTAATTTTTAAATTTTGTATACGAGTTTCCTCAGAATAGCCATAATAACTAGAAGTATCTATAATTACGATGTAAACTGAATTTATTCCGTAACATTTAAATTGCTACGACTGAGTAGCAGGATTAAGATAAACCTTGAGCTAATTTCAAATAATAGAAATCTATGGTGCATTTCAAAAGTCCATGGAGAGCACACATTCCTACAAAGTTTTCAAGTGTTCGAAGTTTTCCTTCTGATCAAGCTAATATAAATTATACGATAAATTAAATTAAATGAAGTATATCAAATTTAATAAATTAATTTACTCAAGTAGTACTTAATTTTATTTTGACGCGTAAGCACATACTAACATTTTTAAATTAATTCGGTACAACTTATGTTAATGGATAAAAACACTTTTGAACGTGTACCATTTCTTAGTGAATATTGTCTATGTAATAATATATACATTTTTAATTAAAATTCAAGATCTTTCACATAACTTTTAGATCTTTTATTGTTTCTTCGAAAAAAGTCACTTATACCGTATTATCATAAAATAGCGTAACTAAACTAATCAAGAGATTCTATACAAGGAGTATAGCTAGAAAGATTGCAACATTACAACAAGTTTTTTGGAATAAAATGGAAACAATCAAAAAGCTGCGCTGGATGAAATTTTTTACCAGATAAATTTTACTCTTATTTTCTAACTCGTTCCAGAAGTACATTATCTTTCTTTTTTCAAGTTATACGATGCGAAATTCCTATGTGGCGTAGGAAGTAGAAATCAAGCATATTGGGGACAATGATCATTTAATCAAATCGACTTAAAATTGATTTGCACAAGAACGCTACGGAAAATGGATCAACTACTACGATAAGCGTGCGTCAATACTCGTTACATTTTTTCCCCGGTAAAGTTTCGGTGTACACAATAGTTATTTATGTAACAAGTGCCCAAAAGGCGTTTTTGGGCACAAGTGTGCGGAAAAAGACACGAGTGCCGGCCATGCCGGCACGAGTGGGTGTTTTTTCCACACACTGTACGCAAAAAGCTGGGCACGTGTTGCATACAAAATTTTATGCAATAGTAGGCGAAAAATACGTTCATTTAAATGAGGCATTTTACCGCACACCCGTGTCCAAAATGGGGCATTTTACCGCACACAAGTGTCCAAAAACGCTTTTTGCGCACTAAAAAATGTGCGAAAAAAGACATTTTTCGTCATACTATTGCATAGAAGGCATTTTTGTGTAGTATAATGAAAGGATTTTTTCTTAGAAAGTATAAATTGTACAAGAGAAATATAATATGATTTGTTCTTTTTTATAAAGCTCTTGGCTATTACATATATTTCTATAACAATATTTAAACGTAACCAAAATAGAAAAATAAAAGGGGTAGTAAAAACAGTAAACAACAATAAAAAGTTACTCGCAAAAACTCTTTTATAATTTAACCAACTGATAAATCGCAAGTAAATACAATCTCATGGATAAAAATATAAGTTAACGGTCTGTAAATTTCTCTCACGGCGCTAAAATGCAATTTACGAAGTTTGTGTAGGATAACACCGTAAAACAAAAAGTATGCTTGCTTGTCCCATAAAAATAAGTGTCGCTATCTTCTCGTCATTTTTAAAGCTGAATTTTTAAACTTTACGTAGATTGATGGATTTTAGTATAATAAATGGAGCAGACATTAAAAGAGACATCTAAATTTTACAGTGGGAAAAAGCTTCCAAAAATATATGAAAATGAAATTTATTTTAAATGGACTATTAATTTGACTACACAACATTTGAATCTCGCAATATTATATTATATTATTCTCTTACTCGAGACTCACATACGTAATATGATAAACAGATATGTAGAAAAGCTCGCACTCTATGTACACATAGTATTGAATTATAATGTGCATGGGGTGACGGGGCTTTGGTGAGTTTTACAATGTCGTTTCAGGCTTATATCGTCGCCCCAGCGCAGGAAGGTATCTATTTCCAAGCTGTAGCAAGAAGGATACTTACTCGCGCGCAGAGGCAAAAAGGTATCTAACTCGAGCGCAGCGGCAAAAAGGTATCTAATTCGAGCGAGAAGCAAAAAAGTAGCTTATTCAAACGAAGTGGCAAGAAAGTTTTGACGCGCTGAATTTAGGTTGGCAACGGAGCCGTAAATGATCAAATTTTGTTTCAACATTCAACATTCAACATTTAATTCAAAGTTATGTAAAGCCAATAACTTCTAGTTTCCTCTCAGAACATACAAAGTTCTCCATAAGTGGCAAATTGAGTCAAAATCTCGGTGAGATTAATTTGTTTTCTCGTATTACAAATGGATGAAAATCATTACTCTAGCTCAATTGTTTTTTTCTCTTTTTTTCTCTAATACAAAACAAAATTTTATCATTTACGTCTGCGTTGCCAACCTAAATTCAGCGCGTCAAAACTTTCTTGCCACTTCGTTTGAATAAGCTACTTTTTTGCTTCTCGCTCGAATTAGATACCTTTTTGCCGCTGCACTCGAGTTAGATACCTTTTTGCCTCTGCGCGCGAGTAAGTATCCTTCTTGCTACAGCTTGGAAATAGATACCTTCCTGCGCTGGGGCGACGATATAAGGCCTCGAAATGGATGTTAAAAAATTTTCTGAAATGTTATTAATATTCACCCATCTATTATTGTTTAAATTTACAGTTATGATAGTCCATGAAAAAATTTAATATATAATCTATCATAAACTATGTAAGAAAAGTTCAAATAAAATTAACAATATAGTCCTTAGACAAATAAGTGCTTTGATTCATCAATTTTTGAAAGAAATTTCTAAAAATGAATGAAATTTTTCAACATTTATCGAGTTTTAATAAGCAAAGTTTGTATAATGTCGAATATTTGAAACTTTTCTACAGCATACTTTTATAGATGGGCACAAAAAGTTAAACTAACTAACTAAACGTTAAATTTTCACCGCTTTGTGAGAGATAAAACCCGAAGTGAGGTTGTTTAAATAAACGTAAGAAGTATATTAAACTTTTTGAACTTATTTATTAAGCATGAAAACTCAAGAGGATACATACACCTTACACTCAAAATTTTTTTGAAATAGATTGTTGAGTAGGATTTTTCCTCCCCTTTTCATTGCATCTTTCGTAATACCAAACTTTTGATTTTGCATTGAGATATAGCTGTTTCCGTGAGCCTTTCTCCAATACTTTAAGTACTCAAAAGTCGTTTCTAGCATAACCATTTCTAAATTTATGTCATTTCTCTGAAAGGTAGAAAACGATGAAATAAACTTATTTGGAAAGAGGCATAAGTGCTGCTTGTAGCTACCATAGTTAGTACCATGAGATAAATGATCATTATTATCATAATTTTCTCACGATATTCTCAGAGATTATTTTGGGTAGCTACACACAGCACTTATGCCTCTTTCCAAATAAGTTTATATCGACTTTTCCTACCTCCCAGAGAAATGGCATATGTTTAGAAATGGTTATCCTAAAAACGACTTTTAAGAAATGCTCCAACCTCTTCAGAGCATTAAATTGGATAGCTACTACCTGCACTTATACCAATCGTTTTTATGAACTATTCGAGTCAATAAATTTCATAATGCTCAATGGCATAAGTTAAAAAATAAATTTCCAAGCCAACGAGAAATGTGTCCAGACATTTTTATCTACATAGGATCACGCTAAAATTTTGGGTTTAGACTTGTTTCTAGACATACTTTCAGTACTCCAAAAGGCATGGTAAGAAAATCGTTATACCTACCCAATCTGTCATCACCTGCTAGTTTATTCAGTCTTGTTTTAAAAAGAAGCTTTGATGTTGCTTTATTATGAAATTTAAAAAGAGCCGGGAAAGTGTTCAGTCTCTCTCTCTCTCTCTCTCTCTCTTTCTCTCTCGCTTTCTTTCTCTCTACCAATTTTTTCCGGGAAATCTTAAGTTATTACATCATCTTGGTATTCAACCGAAGCTAAAAATTTTTCTTGAGAATGGGAAATAGATAAAAAGAGAAGGAAATGCGCGATGGAATGGGGTAAGAAAGTTTGACTCTTCAAAAGAAAAAGAATGTTTTACGCGGGAAGCATTCCAAGCGGAGATCGGTGCTTTATGAAGTAACTCGTAGCTTGCGAAGAAAAGAATGAAAACGATACTTGATTAATGGACAAATCTTCGTAGGTGACCCACATCGATCGACGCAGTCGCACAACACTTTATAATACTGTAATGTTTTAACTTGACACTTTCTACTCAAAATTCATCATTTTTATACTACGCTCTAAACGTGCAGATATGATGCATTTAAATTTTTCGTTAAGTTTTATTCAGTCAGCAAAGAAATTTATGCAATATCGAATGGTCACATGAATTTCTCTGTAAATAGAGTTTTTAAACAAAAAAAAAAAGAATTTTCCATAACCGTTTATAAAATTATACTATCATTTTATACACTGGTCTTTTTCTTTTTAAATAGCTTATTACGGAATAACTTAAACTATCCTGAGATAGATATCCAAATTTTTTGGACTCTGGAAGTGGTAGATTTATGGTAGAATTTCTCAATTCTCATATGACTAGAGTATAATTAAGAAAAAAATTAAATAAAAGTATACCTTAAAACTGCCAACAGAATGAGCTCCATCATAAATGAAAAGATGATCATTGCAGTCCAGTTGCAGCCGATCGAATTTGAGCATAAACCGTTGAAGTATGCTGTGCGTTTGAAAGGTGACCGCGCAGTCAAGATTCCGTTCATTTTGAGATGTGATAATGGCACCGTCGATCTTTCTGTAAACGTCTCGTAAGAAATGATTCTTACAGAGACTGCCGATCAAATCTGGAGACAAAAAACGATGAATGAATTATGGTTTTTCTGTCTGGTTATTATCTACAAATATTAATTTTTGCATAAAACAATATCAACCTTTAGCGGGGAACACTTGTATAAGAAAATTCAACGTAGTCAAGGTCTTTTTACAAAAAGTCAAACATAGATCGCAATGTGGTTATAATAAACGCGAGAAGTACATAAGGTATTGTAATCGCTTACAGAACTATCTGCACGTCGATATTAACCGAGGACGTACTTTTTAATTGTTAAACTATTGGTAAGCATAGAGATCAGGCATAACAACCTTGTTCAATGTAGATTGTACATTTAATTTCATACATGTAGGTACAGGTCGGTACTTTTTTATAAAACCTCTAGATCTTCAACACTAAGCATTTCATACATTTAAGTTGCTTGTGACCGAATTCCAAATCATTAGGTGATTCAATTTAGTTTTATTTCATATTGTTCTATGGACCTTTGGCCCTAGCTGATACTTCAATCTTAGCATAAAATTAACTTGTAACTAAGGTGTACATTAAAATAGAATATTTATTCACTTATGATCATTTTCATAAACTAATGGTATTTTATCGAAACACAAGTAGTAAAAGTTGATTTTATGTTTAGCATAAGATCCCGTCGGTAGCCAAGAGTCCATCGAGCAAATAAGAGAACCCAGAACAAAATTGAGTCATCCAATAAATTGGAATCCTGTAACAAGCAGCTTAAATGTATCAAATGCTCAACTTTGAATATCTATACTTTTATCACAATATTATTTAATTATTTTTATGTAATTAAATTGACAAAGTACTTTCAGAGGTTCTAAAAAAGATTTTTATATTTGATTTTCAAAAAAAATTTCAGCCAAATGCTTCAAACATGAAAATTGAAAAAAGTTAAGCCCCCTTGGAGCCCTCAAGTCGAATCTCATACATTAGATCAATAATCAGGACTAAATTAATGAGATTAAAATACACGAAATCAAATAGAAATGTTTAATTGTGTCTTATGCGATTAAATGAATCGCAAGACAAGTACAATGTACATGTTAATAAATATATCAATTATTATCTTCTTTTAGAAATATTAATTATTCAACATACCCCAACTTTTATCATTCAGATCAATTTTAACTTGACTAAATTAATAAAAATAATTCATTTTGATAAACGGATACTGCAGTATTCGTTCAACAAAGATATCTCAGAAAAGAACGTGAATAATTTGTCTAAACCCTTTATTATTCAAAAATGATTATGTTAAACATAATTTATTTGCTTAAATAAGACATTTTCCTCATTTCACGTTAAAAACGTAAATTAAATCTGGCAAGGAAAAACGTGTAGTATAACACTGATAAAATTGACCAAGCAAGCTAACATTAGTCTCGGTGCAATTGGGTACGAATGTATATAAAGGCTAATGGAACCGAAGATTCACCGCTACTTATCGTCGATGACGTGCGTGTCGAGCTGATCGGGAGGCTGCTCTAGGACTTGGCAATACAGATGCAATACTGATGCTTTTGCTTTATGAGCTCAAACGTATAAACTATATGATGCAGGCGCTGTAGCTGTACAAAGTCATTCGGTATTAAAATCGTCTGTTGTACGAGTGCAAAACTTTAGGAATATATTAAAACACGTGTAATGAGGCGCGAGTATTGCATGTCGAGTTGTTCTAATGGAAGCTTCTCTCGCCACACCGCATGTCATATAGCTAGCGAGCTCGTGTTTGTGTTTGCCGGCCGTGCTCGCGCTTGGCAGCAAACTTCAAGCTCGCAACAACTATTAATTTGATTATATTAAAAGTTTAATATACAAGGCACGAAGTTTGTCTTGCCAGCTCATACTCTGTGCTGCTGGAGCCAGAGCAATTGTGCGACGATAGCGCGCAATTATTGACGCTTATTAGCACCCTGCTGCATTTCCGAGGAAAAATACACGAGCTATCGCATGCACAGTAACTTACAGCGTGTCTCACTTGGATTCGTGCAAAAACTGTTCGATACATATACATCCAGCACATGTATGTTCGTGTGGCATGAGTAAGCGCGTGACTCGGGAGCCAGATGCGTTTACATGTAGGCGCTCGAGCTTTTTAAGAATGGGTAAAGAGCGGCTATTCGCCGGTGCGTGCCTTCGACTATAGCAATCGGGCTTGTTACCGAGCTGCCTCCGCCGCAACTGACGTCGTCGTTTTATTCCGTCAGGCCGCCACGAAGCTTTCGGCATATAATACTCCGGCTTCTATACTTCACAAATATATACAATGTACATGGCACAAGCTTCCAGAATGCTCGGATCACTTTGAAATAAATTTTTTCTGAAAATTTTGACAATTTCCAACAAAAAAGCTTCTTCGCACTTTTACGTTCAAGTCATTCTACACTGATCTACGAATTATTTAAATATTTATATTGAACTTGAATTTTAGGACCCAATTTTTCTAAAAATTTTTTGGGACATTTCTGACATGGGAAAAAACAAGTTTTTTCATTAATGCAGAAAACAAATTTTTTTGGACATTCGACTTGACTGAGAATCGACCATATATATATAACGGCAATGCTACATTAAGGTCGCAAGACTTGACCGCCCTGAATTAAGCGATGCATCATTATCTTACGTGTTTTATCTTCTTCTAAATTTATGAACGTAAAGAAAGGGTAGTTGCAGACGAAAATAAATAAGTATGTATAATATATGGCCGATTCTCGGCAAATTGTTAAAAATATCCTTATTTTGAAATTTTTGCACGTTTTTCGACACTTTCGGATATCTTCTGTCTCTTAATCTCGAATTTGATTCAATTTTGAGTTTTATGTTTCTTTTTATTGAAACTAACTACTGGAGTATTCTAATTTTTCATAAAAATTGAAAACGTAATAAAAAAAATAATTTCAAAGGATCCTATTATAAGATTCATTAATGATTTTTACAGGATACGTGGTTGAATGTCAAAAAATTAGTTTAAAGAACAAAAGATCTAAAATTCACTAGTCCATCATATTGAAAGAGAAATCAAGTGACTGCAATACCAATATCTCGGTGCATTTTTTATCCTCGCATGATTTTAGACTTAACAAGTGCGTTAGGAATGAGAAAAATGAGCTTGTGGAAGAAAAAAATCAAGAACGCACAAAGCAATTGCAATTTTTTTGCAGTAAAAATTTTCCTTGTACAGGCGCCGGCATTTATATTTATATATATAAGCTATATACATATGGAGCCTACTGAGCAGCAGTGCGCGCGCAAGCACGAGCCCATGAATACATGCAGAGACGACGAGAGCAACGAGCCCTGACACTGTGTATGTATGTACATACACAAGCTTAAGCTGCTCCCCCGTATCTCTGTGTATATTCCACCCTCCCTCACATTCATCCATCCTGCTCTCCCCTCCTCTCTCTCTCTCTCTCTCTCTCTCTCTCTCTCTCTCTCTCTTTCTCTCTCTATACAGTTCAGATGGCGTTTTGAGCGCGCCCTTTACCTTTTCTACCCCTACGATGCCACCGACACTATGTGCCACGCAAACCCCCCCGGCGATCAATATTACTCGCTTTACTACTACTGCTACTACTACTACTACTACTACTACTACTACTACTACTACTACTACTATTACTACTACTACTACTGCTATAACTACTACTATTACTACTATAACTACCACTAGCATATGTGGTGCACATCACTATCCGTAGAATTACTATGTGCATACGCTTATCTGTTCTTTTTCTCTCTCTCTCTCTCTATATATATACCACTAACGAGGACGACTTTTAGTACGACGGCTGTACATACTGATCCGTGTGCCGTGGTCGGCTAATCGACATGCGCGCATAACTTTTACTTACGAATACCAAGCTAAAATTTACGGATGCGTGATTTTTAGCACTTTTGAATTCATATTTCTCGTTAGGATAGTTTTTCACATTCATACCTCGCGTTGCGTATTTATAGGGTACTTGAAGCTTTTATTCTTGAAAGCCTTCCAGAAAGCATATAATACAATTTTTATTGTTTCATTATTCACCTCATAATTTCTTGTTCATTTTTGTGAATGTTTTCTATGATTAGCGAGAATTTATAAATTTTTCATTTAATCGGCCTAATATTCAATGATTTTGAAAATTTTATTTTTCTCATAACTTTTTTACTTTTTATAGGAAAAATTATTTTCTGAGCAGCCGGACATGCTTTTTAATCGGCTAAATTCTTGCTAGAGAACTAAATTTAAATTTAAGTCGAATTAAATTGTAGAATTTGATTTGGAAAATATTTTTCAAAAACTCGATGTAAAATTTTGATTAAAAGCTAAGTAATTCTTTATTTCAACATCTCACCAATGCATTTAAACGAAATACTTTTGGTGGAAAATGATCGCTATTTTTTAATGAAGGAACGTTTCAAGTACGTACGATTGTTTGTCGTGGACATGTTTTTTAATTAAAGGAAAGAAGTAATGATACAATCATTTCGACTTATTATATCAATGCACTGATTATTATGATTAAATTCGTAAAAATCCAAAATCAAGAAACCATGATGACGTGGACCATGGAACAATGATTTCTCCTTTAGTAGAACAACATTAACGCGAAAAAAGATTTCCAGCCTGCATGCAAATCTTCATATTACACCAATTGAAGTAGGAAAAGGATATATAGAGATGGAGGAAGAAGAGAGAGATTGGAGCCCCTCTGCAGGAGGTAAAGGTGGTGCGAGACGCGCACGCGTCAAACGCGTCAACCCTCAAGCCAATACAGAACAGTACGTGTAGCGCAAAGCGAAGACAGGAAAAAAATCTGTACCACTCACAATTTTCATTTTTAGCTGCGGCGAGATTTTTGTCGTCGAATAGAGGTAGGAGCAGCACTAGGCCCAGCACTAGGGCCCACCTGGCGAGGCTGCGCGGCATGCCGGTGGCAACCCACCACAGCAGCAGCAGCACTACTCACCACACCCGACGCGATCGGAGAAAATACACGACGTCGT